CCCTGGCACTTGCGTCGCTCGGGGTGCTTTGCTCTGGCCGCGACCTCGTGTTTGCGCCCGTGGCGTGTGCAGAACGCAGTAGTGCGGATCCCCGCTGGGTCCACGCCCTGAACCTCGCGAGGCGATCCACGCGTGCAGGTCCGTTCTCGGCTTCCGGTCCCCGCGTGCGTCCTTCCGGGCTGTGCGACCCACTGCTCCCTGGAGTGCCAGCCTTGATCCCCATTTGTCCCCCAGGCCTCCCACAGAGCTTACCTGCTGTACCCGGTACCCCTGCACTGTCCCGGGACTACTCCCAGCAGGGCCCCAAGGGGAACTGAGAGTGGGTGAAGGGTGACAGGCTCTTTAAGATCTGTAACTTCCCTGTGGGTTGTTTTGTAAATAGCTGATTCCCAGAAGGGAAGTAAAATGGGCAAAATGCCATGGGCCTGACGTCCTACCACTCTGGGAGACTGAGGCAGGAGAATCAAAAGTTGGGAGTCCAGCCAATGTCTCAAAGTGTAAAAAATATTTTTAAAAGGGCAGGGGATCTAGCTCAGTGGGAAGGCCTTGGGTTCAATCCCCAGTACTACAGAGAGACACTAGTCACTCCAAGAAAGCGTGAGCTCCTGTTCGGATGTAACTATTACCATAATGACGCTTAACTTACAGGGTGCTACATGCCAAGCATTGGCCTGGGCTTCCAGAGAGCGTGGGCGCAGCGGCACCCATATGTCATCCGTGGAGGCCACACAGCCCTTACCAGGTGTTCCCTTTGAAGGCAGTTTACAGAGACCCAGGCCGGCAGGGAGCCTGTGTGTCTGGCCAGCAGCTGCACAGACTGCTTCTCCATTTTAGCCCAGGAAACAAGCGCCGCGGTTCTTCAGCTGACTTGGTTGTGCAACAGTTCCAAGGTCCCATGAGACCCCAAGACTCAGGCCAAGCGGCGCAAGCCCAGGACATGGCCAGTGACAACACCCAAGGCCAAGGTCTTGCCCAGAGTTTCACAAGGCTGAGTTTGGTGAAAGGGTGGGAAGTGGGGGTGGGTGGGGTGGCGGCAAAGATCGCCTGGGGTGAAGGTGGGGGAGGAGCCCCAAGGCCAATCCCAGGGGAAAGGACCTTCAGCCTCTGGGGGTGGGGTCAGGAGGGCGTGGCCACAAGGGGTGTTAGGCCTGCTGTCACTTTCCCCAGTGGAGAGTATAGGATTCAGCTCTGAAGATAAGCTACTTAGGAGGCTGTGGCAGGAGGATATCGGATTTGAAGCCAGTTTGGGCTATTTAATGAGACTGCTTTAAAAGGGCAGGGGTGTACCTCAGTGGGAGAGCCTGGACTTAGCTCTCAGTGTTGCCCCACCCCCAAAAAAGGCCTCTATGTTTACACTTCAGTCTCAAAACCCCAGCTCCCTTTTCTTGAGGGTTGAATGTTGGGAGCCAGAGGGATAAGAAGAGACAGAAGAAGTGGGGAGACCGCTGTCACAGGCTCAGAGGGATTGGACTCTGCAGAGTGGGGCTATGTGGCTGATGCCCCTAGCTGGGGGCAGGGGCAGGGGCAGAGGGGTGCTCCAACGCAGGCTGTACCTCTTCAGCTCTGCTCCCCACCTGGTGGGACGGAAGCTGGCTTCTGCTGGCCTGCCTGCATGAACAGGGTGAGTGCAGGCTGCCTGGCACCCAAAGGGGAAGTGACCAGGGAGGACGGAAGCTCTCTGTGGATGTGTGTGCCCCAGGTCATGTAGTCCACCCTCGGCCTCTGGTTTCCAGCTGGTGTACCTGCTGTGGGAGCACAAGGCAGACCTACCCAGCACTACCTGTGCCCACTTGTCTCCTGCTGGCATTCAGAGGTGCCTCTTCCCAAATGCCAGGCACACACGACTCTGTGGGGAAGACATGCCCTGCCAACGCTCACCTTTTGGCGGGGCGGGTGGATGCAGGAGTGGCTGGGGAAGGGAGATCAGTTACCCACAGGTGAAGGGAACAGATGCAGACCCCTGGGTTTGGCAGTGATGGGTGTGCTCTCTGGCGCTAGGCTGTCTCACATCCCTGAGGCAGGGCTGAGGGGGAGCACGGACTACAGGGAGGTGGAGCCACTGGCCCAGGACCTCAGAGGAGGCAGAGCTGGCTGGAAGCTAAAGTATGGGCTGAGGAGTCCGTGGTGTGGACAGGCAGGGTGGGGTGGGGCTTGGCAATACAGAGCAAGGGGAAGTGGGTAACAGTGGGTGAGTGGCTTCATGGATTAGGACGGCCATCCCAGCCCATTGTTCCTGCCCCAGCAGTCAAGTTGCACCCTGGATATGATGGCAGTGGTCCTGGTCCCCAGCACTGGCCGCAGGCAGCACCTCTATGTGGGGTCCCTGTGGGAAGTAAAGTGAGAGATGAAAGGACACAGGCTGCCTGATCATGGGGCAGAGTGACACAACTGTGTCCCTGTAACAAGTGCCTGTGGCAGGGCGGAGTGCAGGTGTCTGGGTTGCCCCAGGATAGCAGGGGGGATAATGGGGTTTTGGGTGTGACTCCTGCCCTATGAAGGCTAAGGCCCTCGGTGCCTAGGGGAAGGTGGGAAGCGCCATCCAGAGTGGAAATACCCTTTGCTTTCCACACTGCGCTGGCCAACACCACTGCCCAGGCCAACACCACTGCCCAGAGTGGGCACCAGCTTTCAGGGCAGATTTGCCAAAAGTGGGACCCTAGCCTCAAAAGGTCTACAGCATCCAAGTCTTCTGGGACAAGGCTAAGGGGAAAGGAGGTGATGGGCAGTGGCCATGCAGGCTGGCAGGAACAGGAGTGGAGCTCCTGAGGGCGGAAGTGCAGCCGGCTCCTCCCTCCCTGCAGCCTGGGAAGGGCCTCATTTCATTGGCCAGCAGGGTGAGGGCTGGCAAAGGGTTCCTGTCTGAAAGGAAGTCAGGGGGCTCAGGGAGGAAGGTAAGGCCAGGCCAAGCCCCCAGGCTAAGCGGCCAGCTGCTCATCCTCAGCAGTCCAGGATATCCCATCTGGAGGTGTCAGACAAGTCACCTGTACAGTGGCCAGGCAACCCTCCTGGCTGCTGCTGCTTTGCTGGGAAGAAGAGATCATTCTTCACGGATCTGCTTATGAAAAAGTGCCAGGATCCAGTCATGAAAATCAGTTATTTTTTGAAATCTTACAAACTATTTAAGGTTTTTAAAAACTGTAAGCCTAAACAGTATTCACATGGCTGGACAGGGGCTTCTCACTCTGGGGGACCGTGTCTCAGCGACTGTTGGGGGTGAGGGTGGAGGCCCTGAGGCCAGGGCGGAGTGGTGGCAGCCTCCTCCCCATACCTGCGGCTCCTCACAGCTGGCTCTGGAGGGTCCTCCCTGATGCTGGGCTGGTGCCAGCCAGACGTCAGACAGCAGAGGCAACAGGGGGAGGTGGCCACCCGTGGATACTGAAATGGACCTCAAGTAACAACAACATCAGAGTCCCTCATGTCAAACTGCTTTATTACATCTTAAATAACAGTACAGTTTAATATAGGTTCTATCTTGCATCCAGCCTCCTTGCAGTACACTGACTTTAAAATTAAATACAAAAGGTGAAAAGGGTGAAGGTGCAGAGAGCTCTACAGTCATCTGATGGGAAGAGAAGGGGCTTCGTTGAGTTCTCATTGCCAGATCCAGGCCTACTGCACGGTCACAGCACAGTTTGTACAGGATGTGTGGGATGGGATGGCGAAGCCACTACTGCTGCTAGGAGGGGTGTGGGACAGGGAGGAGGGGCCTACAGACACTGCTGTCCCAGCACTGCAGGTTGGGCGCTCCTTCCCTCCTTCCTCCCCCTCCCCCTCAGCATCCAATAGCAACAGCTCTCAACAGGACTGTTTTTTTGTTTTTTTAAAGTAAAGAAAACTGACTCATCCTGCTACTCAAGCGTGTAGAGCACTAGCTGCTTCCGATATGTATGCAGAGTAGCAACAGAAGTGGACAGAGCCGCCACGGTTACAACTTTAAGAGGTTATTTCTTGAAAGAAAAAGAACATCTAAGGACTGAGTCCTATATGCATTTTTGAGCATTTCTACAGCATGCGATTCTAAGAGTAAACCCACCCAATATGGCAAACAATCAAATTTTTAAAATTTAACTTAGAAAGTGTGAGATCATTATTTTCAAAACATTGATTTGTACACTGTTTCATACACAAATAACCAACTGACTATCTGAGCACAGGACAGGCCTCTCGAGCAGGCTCCTGACAGCGAGGGCAGGGCGGTGCTGGGCCATTAGACTTCTCAGGAACCCAAGGCGAGAGGAACAGGGCTGGACAGGGCACAAGGGGGAAGCACTCTGACCACGCCCACCACTGAGCTAGCATGCGCTGGGCCACTTTGCTCTCCTCCATTACGCCGTGTATGTGCACACGACACTCATCTGCAACACAGGAGTAAAAGGCCAGGGACCAGACAGCATCCCTGTCACGCCAGAGACCTGCCCCCAGCAGTGGTTCTGTTCCACTGTTGGGACAGAAGGAAATATATTTAAAAAAGGAAATGTGAATGTTTCCAAAATCCTCCTACAAACACAACATGAAATTTAGAAATGATTACAAGATAAAATCCTTGACTTGTTTTGCATGAATGCCACAGAATAGGGTCACTGTCTACTCTTCGGTGAGCTAGTAGAGAGGCATGTCTGTCTCACAATTACACTCAGGTTTACCTTCTGGTTAACATTTTTATTGTAGTTTTTCCTTTTAAAATTCATCCAAGACAAAAAAGAAAACAAAGACAATGGCCCCGGAAGGAATGCACAATTTGTTTTAGTTTACAGCACAGAGATCCTTCTCTCAATGGGAATTGTGCTCTTGGTTTCAGCAATAAGTGAAGGAGAAAAGATCTTGCCCTTTGAAGTTCTGAGGGGTGTGGGTGTCCACGTTAGTGGGGCGGATAAGATATGCTATCACGGTAGCGCTTCAAGGTTGGAACGGTCTTCCAGTCACTGTGGCGTCCACCTGCTGCTGGGAACAGAGTGTGGATCAATGCACAGACACTGGAAACCCGAATGTAGCCCAGCCAGTGCCACCACCCGCTTGCCTCCCCTTAGTGTGCACAGCCGAGGGGCCACCACTTGTACTGAGCCACTCCAATCAGTGCCATGCCTGTGCTAACCTAGAGACCATGCACAAGAGTGCAGAGCTGCCGGGGAGGGCATCGGGTGGCTCCATTACCTACTGCTGTTAGTTCCAGATCTTGAGGAAGCTGTCCCAGGATCCTGTCGCCACAGCCATGCCATCATCAGTCACCCCCAGGCAGCTGACGCGGTTGTCATGTCCAGCCAAGACACCTGGAGCAAAGACAGTGGTCACTCAGATGCCCGGGCAGCTCTGCTGTGAGGACAGCTGGATAGCTAATCTCCAATGGAGCAGGGATATAACAGTAGCAGGGCAAGGCCACAAGGAAGGGAAAAGTTCTGTTCAAGTGGAAATTACACACAGCCAGTCCTGTTAAAGGGGGCTATGATTTAAAAGACATGGATGCCGTTGCAGGAAGTACAGACACGCTCAAGAGGAGGACAAGAAATGTGTGCATGCGCGTGCTCACACACATGCTAACCCAGAGCCACTCACACTGATACCCACACATCTTATAAAGCTTAAATAAACAAGAGAGCAAAATCCACGGTCAAAAGGCTCTACCCGAAAGCAGCTGAGCATACAAGTATGGGGATGGGACCTGTCTCTCACTTGTTTGTGATGCCCAGAGCCCAATAAAATCCAGCACATAGGGTTGTGGTGGCTGTTGAAACCACAGGGCTGTCACACAGTGACCCTGGTGCCAGGCAGGCCTCCTGCCCACAGCCTAACAGTCGTGATGTGGATAGCACACCAGGAAAGACATGCCACTTCCTCCTGAACCCTCCAGTGTGTGTCCCTGCTGAGCACAGGGGTGGGAGGACTCTCTGCAGAGGCGGGGTGGGGGGGGGTGGGGGCAGCTGTCACCACCCTCAATGATTCTGCCCCCAGCAGAGAACTGGGCACCATAGGGTCCACAGGACCCCATGTCACACTCCCCTCTTTCACCCTGGCCAACACCAAGATTCGCTGAAGGCTTCTGAAGTGCCAATATCCTTTAAATTCAAGTGCACTGTGAGAAAGGTCTCATCTTCTGTCCAGCATGTGTTTCAACACCTGACAATAGCACAGCTGCTCTGCAGCTCTGCAGAGGCCCCTTTGAACAGGAGAGCTGCAGCCCTAGCAGCTCTGGGGAGCACAGCCTCTGAACCTCCCAGACGGAGCCCAGGGCTCCCCTTCCTGCCTCACAGGGAAGGGCTCCTTGTCCCCTCTGGCATGAGTACTCTGAAGGCCAGAGTCTGTGTGTCATAGCTTGTCCCCTCCTCTGCTGTTCCTTGGCGGACATAAATTCTGTATTTCAGCCAGGAGCATCCTGTCCACCCTGAAGAACTCCTTGAGCATGCAGAGCACCTACCTGCCCTGTCAGCTTTGAGGGCGTCCCATACGTTGCAGTTGAAGTCGTCGTACCCAGCGAGAAGGAGGCGCCCGCTTTTGGAGAAGGACACGGAGGTGATCCCGCATATGATGTTGTCGTGGGAGTAGGTCATGAGTTCCTGGTCTGCGCGGAGGTCGAAGAGCCTGCAGGTAGCATCATCCGAGCCGGTAGCAAATGCATTGCCATTTGGAAAGAACTGGAAGAGGGTTAACAAGACGGCATGTGAATCTAGACAAGATGCAAATGCTCAGTCAGAAAAATGGAAATGTAGCTGCTGGGGACAAAGCCAGAAAAGAGCCAGGGCTGGGCTCTGGGTTTTAAACTAAATCCCCTAGGGCAGGCAGGTTTGGCCCAGTGGACCCATGCAAAGGGCTTGTGCTCCTGCCTAGCTGCCGGCCCTCAGACTGATTTCTGGAGGAAGGAGCAAAGACCCCTACTGGCTGCAGACACAGCCCTATTGGCTGAACACCTCCCATGGTGCAGGGTCAGAGAGGGAGGGAGGCAGGCTCCACAGCTCCACACTGCTCCTGACCAGAAGACATGCTTGGAGTGCAGGATTCAGACACTGACTGTCTTGGGGGGAATAGGCCTGGCACCCAGAAGCCACCTCAGCACCCAAGACACAAGCAGCACAGAACCACCTGGCCTCCAGGTCAGATCAGCCCCAGCCAGGTCTACCATGAAACAATCCGTTCACCCACCTGAGACTCAGGCTGTATCTGTAAAGGCATAAAGAACCCAGGACACAGTCCAAACTCACACAGATGGCATTGATGTCAGACTCATGGCCAGTGAAGGTCTGCCGGCACATGCCTTCTCGAACATCCCAGAGCTTCGCCGAAGCATCACAGGCACCGGAGACAAAGAGTCTGGTGTCAGGAGCCAGAGACAGGCTCATGACGTCCCCAGTATGTCCAGTGAATGTGGTTGTCTGCTGGCCAGTCTCGATGTCCCACAGTGCACTGGAGCAAGGCAAATGAACAGACATCAGCATCACAGCTCAGACACTACCCTTTGAGCCATCCAGGGCTGCAGAAAACCTTCACGCTTTCAAGGTCACGTTGTGTAACGCAATTCTGTTTAGAGGAGAAGCAAAGCAAAGAGAATAAACACTACAGATGAGATCTCAGGCTGGGCCTCAGAGTGGCAGTGGTCTCTGCAGGCTTGCACTAGCAAATGGGGGCCACATCCCCTCCTGTGCAGAGAAATTTGGGGCTGATGCTACACCCAGGTTTACAGGGGTAGAAAGGTCCTCATAACAGGCAGCAGGAAGCCCTGGTGAAGCCTGACAAGAAAGAGCGCTCTGCTCCACCCAGGTGGGCCCTCTGAGCCCATTACCCTTCCTGATTCAGGGTCATGCTGCAGAGCAGAGGCAGTCTGAACAGCTGTGTGGGGCATCCATGCACACCTGTCTGCTGCTGCCAAAAGGTGAGACACCAACAGCACCTGCACAGAGCAGGAGCTGTGTCCAAAGGCCGCAACCACTGCTGTTTCTCTGTTGCGCCCGGTGAGAGCACCCAGAAAATGTTCACCCATGTCAGCCTTGCAGGAGAACTGGCTGGCCTGGCAAAGCAAATCCTAGGTGACAGGATCAACACTCCGCACAGTCTTCTCTTGGGGCCTGAGGGGCATCAGAAAGAAGCAGGGAGTACAGGAGGGAGCCTTCCCAGTACAGAGGCCTGGATGCTGACAGCCTGCACATCCTGATAATGTGACTCCTACCCCTCGTCAGACAGGACCATGGCATCTATGTACCACAGCCCTGCCAGCTAGAGAGTCCCTGGCCACCAGTCAAGCCCATGAAAACCAGAAGAGACTGCGAGGACAGCTAAGTCCATACAACACTCCTAAAGTCACTACTAGGTCATTTCATTTCATTTCGTTTTTTTGTTTTGTATCGGGGATCGAACTCGGATCCTTGTACTTGCAAGGCAGGTGGTGGAACCGCGAAGCTAAATCCCCGGCCCTAGGTCATTTCATTTCTATGCACTTGAAAACATTCACCTACCTACCTGTCAGCTGAAAATGCCCAGAGTGGATCTGGTGTGGCTCACTTCACTGTGATACCTGCTATTTACACTGTGCTCATCACATTCACTGAGAGACGGGGCCAGAGAGGGCTACTGAATGACCCTCATCACTTAGCCAGGTAAAATACAATGTTTACAGTGGTTCAGTTTTCACATGCATGCTCATGTTTATAGCAGCAGTCTGTACTAGCTAAAACTTGGAAACAGCCCCAGTGCCCATCAAGTGGAAAATGGTTAAAGAAGATGTGGTTTTAAGGGCTGGAGATTTAGCTTAGCAGCGATGCCTGCCTCATAAGCACAAGGTGCCAAGTTCAATCCCTGGTACCAAAATTAATTAATTAATAATAAAATGCGAGTTCAACCCCTGGTACCAAAAAAGAAAAAAAAAAAAAAGAAAAAAGAAAAAAAAGAAATGAGACACAAATAAATAAAAAAATGGAGTACTATTCAGCCATAAAGAAAGACAAACTACAGATATTTATAGCTAAGTTGGATACACACTGAGGACGTACTCTTAAGTGAAATTAAAAAGACACATGTATAAATACCGAATAGTTTCTCTGGTGTGAAAAACTAAGTGTAAATAAGGAACAAAAGGTAAATGATATTCTGTAGCAGGAAGAAAAGATCTAAAACAGGAGAGAAAGTAAGAGGAGTAGGGGAAAGGTCAAAAAAGAAAAGAAAAAATATGAGAAAAGGAAAAACATGGACACAATATCTTTGTAAACAGGGAAGGATGGAGGAGGTGAAGGGAGGGCTGGGAATGGGGAAAAAATAAGAGCCAAGATACATCCTATAAAAGTACAAGATCCCAATGATGAATGTAACTGTACTGTGTACCTAAAATGTATCAATAAACTCAATGAAAAAAACAAAAGGAAGTACTGCATGCACAACTGTAATGTAGTAATTCTCAGTCCAGCTCAAAACTATGTAAATCTGCAAACAGTACAAGGAATTCACACACAGCGACTTGGTATTTTGAATCCCAAGACCATTTTAATTTTAATCTCAAGGCCATTTCAAACTAAAATGGTCTAATAATGATACCCAGAACCATGCCCCCTCCATACAGACCTCCCCCCAAGTGTGGACAAAGGCTGGTGTCATGCAGGTCAACACTCACCACGTGGTATCTCCAGAGCTAGTGACAATCTGATTGTCGTCCAGGAATCGGCAGCAGGACAGGTAGCCTGGCAGAGAATAGACCAAAGTGAGAACTGAGCGAACAAGTTGGCCACGTGGTGCTGGCAAACACGAACAATATGGGGTGGGCTGAGCGTGGCAGGGGATCTTGTCCAGGTTGGGATGCTCTGACCATGACCCCCGCTCTGCCTGTGCCCATTAAAGCAAGAACACACCCTGTGTGCAAGAGCACAGCACCCTCAAAGCACCTGAAGCTTTCACCTGAAGGCAGACATCCCCTCCTCTCAGGCAGTTATTTGCTTGCTCATTCTCTTATTCAACAAGAGAAGACAGGGCTGGAATACAGCCTCATGTGGAGTTCATGCTCAGTGGGAACAGAGTGATGGGAACTCAAAGAGCAGCACAGCACGCAGGATGGGGGAGGTGGCAGCAGGGACAGATGGCGGGTGGGCACTCAAGTGTTCCCCAGGGTGTTCCATAAACCAGCTGGAGGCAGGAGGAGAGGCCCAAGTCAAAGGGTCAGGGTAGGGCTGGGGATTTAGCTCAGTGGAGCTACTGCCTACCTTGCAAGTGCAAGGACCCAAATTCAATCCAAGTTCGATCCCCGGTACCAAACAAAAAATAAACACCAAAGGGTCAGGGCAGAGAGGACTTGCAGGCCACAGAAAGACTAACAGAGGGGACAGGACGGGAAAAGACAGTGGAACAGCTGCCTGATGGTGATGCAAGGGACACCAGGGTGCAGCTACGTGTGTGTGCCTGCCCACCCTTAAGCAGGCGAGGCAGGGTGGGCTGTCTAATGGTGCACAAAGGGCAGAGACGTGCCATCCTCAACAGCTTTAGGGATAGAAAAAGCAATCCTGAGTTACGATTTTGCATTAATAAAGCTGTTATCCATTGCTTTGCCCTTATGGAGTCAGTGCACGCATTCCAGCCATGGAATTTACAGAGTTCAGGGTCATCAAACCTAGCAATGCCCAGGACTGGTCCCAGGCTGACCACAACCTGATCCCAGAGGTCACACTGACCCCAGAAATTCCAAGATTCTTGTTTAGCCTGGGTGCTCAATGAAATACTTCCCCTCCAAGCCTGTTCAGCTATGGAACACTGTGAGTGGGGAAAAAGAAAAACAAAACAGACAAAGCAGTCACTGAATGCCTTGTGTCTAGACAGAGCTGGGCCCAGGTAAGCACACCTACAACACCAGGCAATCTCAGCTCTTTGGAGGCTGAGACCAAGGATCGCCAGTTCAAGGCCAGCTTTGACAATTCAGCAAGACTGTCTCAAAATAAATAAATGATAGATAGATAGATAGACAGATAGATAGATAGATAAAATTTACCAAAAAAATTTTAAACAAATAAATAAATAAAAAATAAAAAGGGCTGGGGGTGTAGCTGCAGTTCAAATTCCCAGAACCGCAAAGCCACTGCTCACCCTGTGTCCTCACCCGGTCCGCTGACATCCATGCCTCCACCAAAGCACCCTGTGGCTTCCAGGAACAAGTCACTCCTTTCACCCCCATAGTCTGCACAGACAGCCCATCCCTCCCACCTCTGGTAATCCCGCTGCCCACACCTCACCCAGGCCGTGTAGCCCGTGGCTGTGCTGCAGAAGAACCATGTACTGGCTCTTCCCCAAGTCAGGGACAGGATGATGGACACAACCCTCATGTTCTGACTCCAGACCTGGGCACCACAACCCTGAGCAATCCTGAGCAGGAAGAACCACCAATACTTGGAAGGAACTGGGGCATGACAGCAGTCACGCAGAGCTAGAGCAGGTATTCCTTGTAACTAAGCCAGGTCAGGGCTAAGCTCCTCTGGGCTTTCACAAGCAGTGAGAAGAAAACACCATGCAGATGCTGTATGCTTTACACATTCTTTTTTCCTCCTAGAGAGTAATGATGGAAACAAATTTTGTCAATAGCCACTATGAGCTGCCTGGCAGGGAACTAAATCAGAGGGACACAGTGGTGCCCAGCACACAAGACCCCACTTCCAGGGGCTGAAGTCACAGATGCTGGGGCATCCCTAGCATGGCTGCTCCCAGGGCTCTGAATCCATGTCTGCTCTCAAGGCCTCATGTCCTGGAGCTGCTGGGAGGGGCAGAGCAGGCTCCACACACATAGCACTCTTGCTGAGAGGAGCCTGAGGCGGGAACAACTCCCCATGTGCATATGTTTTGTATTGCTATGTGGACATACAGGAGGCTGCACCAAGGCCTGGGCCTTACCCTAGCCTCACCTCCCACGCACCAGGAGCCAGGGCCTGAGTCCTCTGAAGGCACTGGTGCAGGGTCACGTTCTGGGGAAGGTGGCGGTGCTAACTGAGGGGCTTCAGGGCTGGCTAGAAAACCAGGCCTGTGTATTGGCTCCAGGCCACAACCTCCATAGGCAAAGAGCAGCAAACTGGAAATGCCAGAATGTCCAACAACAGAGACAATTAGGGCACTGATGGCGTGACTTTCTACAACTGAAGACAGTATTGTAGCATGCAGAGCAGTGTGAGCCTACGATCTTCACATTCTGGCAGCAGTATCATGAGTCAGGCCAGCATGGGCCACACAGCAAGAGATTACTTTAAACAAACAAAAAACTAAGGCTAGAGTTCTGGATGGGATTTTAAGCAAAAAACACAGAAGCATGGTGATGCATGCCTGTGGTACTGGCAACCAGGAGGCCAAGGCAGGAAGATCACTGTGAGTTTGAGGCCAGCCTGAGCTACATAGTGAATTCAAGGCCCTGAACTATATGGCAAGACTCTCTAAAAAAAAATCTCTCCAATGAATACAAATCAACAGCCTTTGCTCCCAGCCTGTAACAGGGAACACAGGCCAAGGATGAGACCACCTGAGAAAGGACTCAGGATCCCTGGGATACCCAGGGGGCCCCAGGAATAACACCAAAATCTGCAGCAGTTTCTGTCCCAGGAAGGGGAGAACCATCAGCCTAGACCTGGAGGAAAATACAGGCACTTGCTTCAATCAGTCAAAAGGAAAAGGAACTGCACCTGCCTTGCAAGTGCAAGGTTCTGAGTTCAATTCCTGATACCAAAAAAAAAAAAAAAAAAAAAAAACAAAGGAAAACAAAAGGGACAAGGGAGCAATCCAAAGATCCAGAAGTTGGAAAATGGCAAAGAATGTCTGTTTTTTTGTGTTTTTTTGGCACCAGGAATCGAAATTGGGGCCTTGTGCTTTCGAGGCAGGTGGTGGAACCACTGAGCTAAATCCCCAGCCCTAGAATGTCTTTTTATTAAGCAGGAGACTCAATGCTGAAAGAGGAAGCAAATTATAAAGGGTTACATGAAGAGCAGGCCAGAGCAACATGTGAGCCGACTTTCCAGGAACCTCGTGTTCAGCCACCAATGCTGTGGCCTCAGCTGGCTGGTGCTCTCATGCTGCCAGGTGGCCTGCGGTGCAGCAGGGTTAAGTGGCTGGCTGGTGGTGTGGGACATGTTTTAGGAAGCAGCAGCCTCTGCAAGGCCATGTGGTCATCCCTGAAAAGGGGACACGTTCTCCAGGCCCTTGGCATGTGGGACAGAGGGCTGGGGGTAGCTCGGGGAAAGCAGCAGGCCTGCTTCCAGCCAGTGGGGTGGGGCTGCCAAGACAAAGGTGACAAAAATAGCAGCCCAGGCGTGACTACTGGACAGATTTGTTGGGGAGACAGCCTCTTCCCTTCTTTATCCGAGTTTGCTAGTGCCTGTCAGAAAGAAAGCCATTCCGCATCCATGAATACGAAAACCATCCAGCTTCTTACTGCAGGAAGAAACTGTGCCCAGAAACAAAGCTTCGGTTGCCATGCTGGGTCCCAGCATGGAAAGTGCTGTCACTGGGCACATAATGAGTCCTGGGCAGAAGGCTCACATGAGTTGAGGCCCCACATCCACCCCAGGGTCTCACAGGGAGTGCAGCCTTCAAGAATGGGGGTTGACTACTCTCCACCACCTCCTGTCTGGATGACTGGGCCATGCCACCTCATAAAAAATGAGATTCTAGGCAATTAATAGTTTTTCAAATATAATCTAATATCTTCATAATTATTTTCACCAAAAAAGAATTTGGGAAGTTTATTCCATCTGTAACATATTTAAAATCATCATGGCAGGGCCGGGGATTTAGCTCAGTTGTGCCACAACCTGCCTCACAAGCACAAGGTCCCAAGTTCAATCCCCAGTATCAAAAAAAAAAAAAAAAAAAAAAAAAAAAAAAAAAAAAAAAAAAAAAAAAAAAAAAACACT